ATATTATGAATGTCGCTACCTAAAAATCTAACCCAATTAAGATCATTTTAGGGTATGTTTGCATATCGGGTATGCTTTATCTCTAAAATCTCTAGCATATGTCAACTATTTTCTATGTTGACTAAAGAAGACACCAAATTTGTTTGCAATGAGAAGTGTCAAAAAGCTTTTGAAAATATAGAACAATACTTAATAATCCCTCTAGTATTTGCGGCACCCATCCCGAGCCGACCATTAATACTATACACTACTCCTCTAAACAAATCCCTTGGTGCTTTATTAGCTCAGGTTAATGAGGAGAGAAAGGAGTATGCATTATATTACTTGTCATTAACTAATACCAGTAAAAAAGAATCCTACATAACCCACCTTGCTCCAACCTTAACCCTAACTTTAAATTTTCAAAAGTTGTACTTTCATTTTCCAGAAAAAAACCTAAATTTTCAAAAGCTGTACTTTCTGTTTCCAGAAAAAATTTCACCATTATTCCGATCATGAAAAATCGAAGTCTTGACATACCTTGGATCTACAACCCAACAATCATCAAAACCCTAACTAGGAGAAAATGACATCATTTGATAAGGAGAAACCCTCAATGAAATGTTCATGAGAACACTATTCAGGACTTACAACATGAAAGCCTCCAACAAAATCAAAGATTTGTCTCCTTTGAGAGGAAACAATCTGGATAGGTCACCTATGACCACACGGTGACTTACCAGATTGAGAGGAAGAAGTGAACAACTTTCTTCAGAATGTTCAGTGATGATGTACTACGACGCCAACTATTTGATTTTGAATATTGAAATAAAAGTTAAGAATTTAGGTTGAAGATTGACTTGCTAGATTTTGACAGTCGCATGGATCAAAAAGAATTTATCGACTAGCGCCAGAGAATGGAATGAGTATTTGAGTACAAGAACTTTCCACGTGACAAAAAGATCAAGCTAATCGTCAGTTAAAGAAGAAAGATTTCTTGTGGTGAGAGAACTTGAAAGAGAGATGCACACAAATATCTTCCATTGTATTATCGATATGATATATTCATAAAACTTCATAACTTGCGCTAGAGATTTTTTTCTAGAGTACACATCTGAATTTGATCAACTTGTGTTGAAATGTGAGTTGGTGGAGGGAACACATGGTGACAATGTATCTTGTAGGTCTAAAATTAGCTATTAGTATTGTAGTAAAGCTGCAGCCATTTTCGTTCTTATTCGATGTATAGACTCTAGCCTTGAAAATGGAAAAGCAACATTGTCACTAGGTGACCACCACATCATATAAATACCTTAGGATCAGGTTGCAAGAGTATACCTAATGGAGTGGCTAGGTTGACCCCGTCAGAAGAGAAACTAATTCAAAGTGGAGAAAAAGTGAAGACTCTAGCCTCAAAATCAACCATATTCATCCTTATTCGATGTATAGACTTTAGCCTTGAAAATGAAGAAGCAGCATTGTCACTAGGTGACAATCACATCTTATAAATATTTCAGGATCAAGTAACAAGAGTATACCTAATGGAGCAACCAAGTTGACCTCGCCGCAGGATAAACTAATTCAGAGGATAGAAAAAGTGGAGCTTCCAAGTTGACCTCGCCGCAGGATAAACTAATTCAGAGAATAGAAAAAGTGGAAACTACCAACACTCACAATTGTGTGCCAGTTAGAAAGTATTTCAAGTGTCTCATTGTCAAAACAAAAGTATACTTAAGGGTGTTCTATCTCACCGAGTATGGAGCAATGAAATTTTAGACAGTGACACGAGATATTGAAGTAGGTGATGAAGCAAAAAAAAGTACCAAATTTCAGTCGACGAGGGAGAGATGCCACTAATATGATAGTTCCTTCAAACTGAGCCCATACGATAGCAATAGTTGCTTCATCACAACATATTTTGTAGTTGTTGCACAGTGAAGGAAAAGTTGGGCAACCTCATTATAGACAGAGGTAATTGTAAAAATGTGGCTTCTACACAAATGATTGATAAAGGAGCTTCGCTGCTCAGAAGCATTCTCTGTCATATTCTTGGCTTAGGTTGAAGAAGGGGTGTAAGATCAATGTTGATAGAAGATGTCTCGTTGAGTTTTAATTCAGTGATAAGTTCCGGGAGCAAGTTTGGTGCAATGTGATATTTATGGATGCGTGTCTAGTCCTCTTAGGTTGTCCTTGACAGAATGATCGTTACACATAAAATAATGGATATAAAAACACATTCTTTCACCAAAGATGGGAAGCACTTTTTTACTTGTCCTGGAAGGAATCCTAAGTGTTTAAGGATGTGGTGACATGAATTATCTTTTTGCAGGCTTTGATCAAAACACCAACAGGACTGACATTGGTTGTCTAAGAAGGAGATGAATTTGAGAAACTGATACTAAATACAGGGTAGCCCCCACTGAGGTTTGTCCAACATGTCATTGCTTCAAACAGAGATGAGGAGTCTCTGAGCTATCTTCGTAATATTCCATGGTGTAAGTTGGGCACTAAGTTCTAGTTTAGTTCAGTAGCTCACCTACGAACAAATGACCATATAGGAGTGGTGAACCACAAATTTGAAAATCTTCTCAGGTATTTTGTGGGAAAGAATATCTGACAATTCAAGTTTTCTCAGAGATGAAGAAGCCTCTCATAATCAAGAGAATGAGTCAAGGGCATCCCACAAGAGCCACGTGATTAGTTTCCTCATATGAATCGCTAAAACTTAAATTTAGATATTTTATACTTATTGACAGATTGACCAACTTCTTTATAATAACCTATCTTATAAAATTGAGAATTTGAAATCTAACTTCTTATCTTCCTAATGAATAAGAGCAATCATATTTTGAAATTTAACTTACTCTAGATTTAGTCTTAATTACAAATGCTTAATCCATCTTTTATGATATCTAAGATAAAACTTGATTGCCCTGATGTGTTAAAATGAAAGGATCAAATTAACTTTGACAATATTATATGACTTACGTGCTCTTATTCCGTGAGGAATATATATGATCAAACATCACAGTTGAATAAAAATAAAATTTTCATTTGGAGTAGGATATTGCAATTGCATAATTTCTTTATAAAATTTCATACTACTTTATCTTACGTGGGTCGAAAGATGATAAAGCTTATAGCAGCTTCTTGGTTACCCTGTTTAGTGGAGAACACATTTGTATCGATAAATTTTTTTGTTACTGAATTTGACAAGTACAAAAAAACGAATATGGAGTTGTTTAGCGGCGAAGCTTCTCTTGATTATTTGTGCAAACTCCTCTCGCACAGATATGTAGCTACCTAAGAAAAGAATCATCCAATCATTAAGTCATTAACTAGATATATATTCTTAGAAAGTACAAATATCACAATGGTATAATTTTTGTCAATGATCTTGGACGAAGCTATGCAATTAGGGTACCTATCAAACATTCAACATAGGAAATTTCTGTGTTGAGGCCTTCAAAGCATTTCTAAGTGCTGCAAAATCGGATAAACAATTTTATGCACTAGGAGAACTAACATATCGATGTTACTTTAGCTACCGTGCTGTGGATTTTGCTTTGATGTAATAGACAGGCTTGTCTAGTTTGTGCAAGAATTACTGGTGGTGGCTCAGATGGTATTATATATGGGAGGAACAAGTTTCTAATCAGAATACCAAGTATCAAAATCTAACTCACAAATCCAGGAAGGTTATAGCTTTTGAGGAAGGTGATTGTGGTGCGGATTAGATTGAACAAGGGTAGGTTTCTTGTAGGGTAGCTTGTGAAGCTCAAGCCTATAACTTTTTTTCCATTCAGGATCGCCAGTAAGATTAATAATAATATTTATAAGATTGATATACCAAGAGATCACAATATTTCAGCTACTTTCAATGTTGTTGATTTGTCACCGTACTATGAGGATGTTAATGCTTTCGGAGATAAAGATGAAGCTCTCCCACCTGGGGAGAATGACGTGGAATGTGAATCGTGTCCCGGAATGGGTGCGAGAGTCCATCCTATATAGAGATTGGTCCAAGAGTTAGGGTTGTTTTGTGGCTCTATGTTATATTTGTTTGCTTTAGGACTGTTAGAACAGTTTTGTTTGGTTTTATTATTTGTTGTGTTGAGATTTCTCTCAGATTTCTTATCGTAGGAGTGTTGTATTATTTCTCTGCTCAAGTGGCATGTATGTAGCTTGATTGGAAATAGGTGCTGAATCCATGGAGTTTGTGTCATGCCGAAAAGTCACCAAACGCATTTTCTTGCTGTTCATACTCAAGATAGCCACCGTTGGCGTCATTCTCTTGTTGTTTTCCGTTTGTGCAGCCCCCATTGGCTTTCATACTCCACTTACTGGTGTTGGCTTCCCATCCTTGCTGATTTAAACTACAAGACAACAATTATCTCCCTATTTAATTCCCAAATCCTATTCTATCTTAGATTTTTTATCCTTAAACACCTACTAGGAATCCTAGAACGATGTCAACCTAGGTCTAAACATCGATGGGATTATGTTTGAATTAAATCTATTCTACCTTATCAATGACAAACTCGGAGCCCAAAGAGGGGCTGGTGTTTTTCTTTTTTACTTATTAATTTTCCTTTTCCTTTGGATTTTCATTTTTTAATTTTTTTATTCTTTTTATTTTTTTATTTGAGAAGTCAAAATTTTGCAATTTTGTGAAGGTAAACTAATACACAGCTTTTCTTTTGTCTCGCTTGGAAAAGATTTTCAAAAAAAAATTTTATTGTATGCTGGCTGACATTAAAGAAGTTGAAATTTATATAAAGCTGCACATTTTGCAGCTTACTATAATTTCTCTTCATCTCAATTTTGAAGTATCAGGCTGTTAGTCTAATGGTAAAAATTTGTAACCTTTTCAAGTGCTAGAAGTATTGTAAGACTTCTACCATGAGGCTTAAGCATATGCGTTTTGGAGAGTTTCTTACAATTACTTTCATTATTGTTATTTTTTTTGTTGGAATTTCTGGCATCATTTCCTTTCTCACAAAATTCTAATTATTATGCAGAGCTGCATCTTTCCCTGAAGCGTCACAATCTTTGCAAAATCTCTATGCGGAAACAGGTTTCTTATATTCTGGTATATTCTTGTATGCTCAATTTTTTAACTAGTGGCTGATGTATATGATATAACACCAACACTGAATCCTTTAATTTTTTAAGGTGAATCTGAATCTACAGCTTTGTGGAGGCTTCATTATTATCAATGGGCAATGCTTATATTTGATCAACATGCTATGAGTGAGGGCGCTTGTCAATTTGCTCTTGCTGCTTTAGAACAAGCTGATGAAATTATTGCACTGAATGATGGCAATATGGATGATGAATTTACTCCTGAACTTGCCTCTACAATCCGTGGCCAATTGTGGGCAAATGTCTTCAAGTTTTGTTTGGATCTCAAGAATTATAGGGATGCTTATTGTGCCATAGTTTCTAACCCAGACGAGGATAGCAAATATATATGTCTTAGGCGGTTTGTCATCGTTCTCTGTGAGCATGGTGCCACCAAGGTTGTTTCTTTTTCCTCCAACTAATGTTGCAAAATCTGTTCTTGCTTGTTTTTTGTTAACTTTAAAAATGTGTGGATATATAGTTTCTGTGAAGTGATTGTACATTTACATAAGCTTGCCTTCTTAACTACATGCATATACCGTTGTTTATTTCCCTTGAAAAACACTTTTTTTTTTTTGGCTGAGGTCAATTTTAACCTAAAAACCTAAAATACAATAAAATTTGCTAGAAATGTATGATTGGTTAATCACACACCCAGTGTTTGTTTTCCTTGTGAAGGCTGTGTGGATGTAGTTTTTTATATATGCAGCTTTAACTACTCATTGTAGCAACAAACTATTTTCAAAGTATGTCTGAGGCTCTTTTTTTGCTTTAGTGCACAAAGCTAAACAGCATTTTACAAACTAGATATTTTTGACTTACATATCATATATGCATATGTTGTGTGATAATAGTTATTCATACAGTCAAACTTAAATCACATTTGATAATATTTTTTAATAAGTACAAGAACTTAAGTCCCCCAACTTTTCAGTAAGTGACTAATTTATTTCCAGAGTTTTAAAGTGCTTCAAATTAGTCCAAAAATATTGAAAATTGATCCAAATTGGCCCTTAGGCCAAATTTAATGGTTAAGGTTAACATCAACCATTAACTTTAATCGGTCTTTTATGAATAAAATTTTAAATAAATTTTTTTTTATTATTACTCTATTTTCATATATAATAAATTATTTAAATTTATGAATGAAGTTAAACATTTATTTCATGAAGTAAATAATTATATTTGCATTAAGTCATGACTAATTGTTTTGTAAACTAATTAATAATTATTAAAATTTTATTAAATTAATTAATGTTTAATATGTTATTTTCTATTAATTAATTACTAAATAGTTACATTTATTATTTTTCTAATTCTAATTACTTGTAACTTATTAATTACTTATTAATTATTATTATTTAATTAATTAAGTAAAAAAAATCAACTTAATTTAAAGCCACTTGAAACCCGCTTGTTATCTCTCTATCTCTCGATTTCGTGCAATTCCATCGTCTTCATGATTGAACCCTAACCATCGCCTTCGTGACCGAGCCCTCACGATATAGTCATGATTAGAGCTAGCTAGGAAGACAGGACTGCGGCATATGATGACCTCTAAAACCCATCTTTCTCCTTTTGCTCCACTCCTACCTTAAACCAAGGCGACCCTCGTCTTTCTTCCCCTTTATCCCACCCACCTTCTCGCGCTTTGCTTCTCTAAATCTCGTAAATCCATCTTGTATTGAGATTTTTAAAGTCTTACATTTAACGCATAAAAGAGGTTTTATTTGACCAGTTTACTCTCATTTGGCCCGTAACATCATTAAATTAAATGGGAAATTTAATATAGGACAAATTTAGATCAATTTTCAATAATCTGGGACTAATATGGATTACTTTAAAACTCTAGGATTAAATTGGTCACTTGTCGAAACTCAGGGGACTATTTTGGGTATCTCATCTAGTGGAAGAGAATGTAGAACCAATGGAAATGACTCAATGATTACAAGAAATAAGAGAAAAGAAATGTTTGTGCGTAGTCATTGTGGTTGATTTTGAGCTGAATCATGAAATTGGAGCCGAGATATTATTTTGAGCTGGAGCCAAATGTGCAGCACATGATGTGATGTGGAGAACAATTGCAACACATTTAATTAAAAAAAAGCTTGTTCTTCATAGACAAGTGATGCATAGCTCCATTGCATCCCTTTTCTTCATTTCATTTTGGTTGTTAACTATGCTTTTAATAAATATCAAAGATTGTAATAAACGAACAATAACAGTTACTTCATTCCCGCCTTTTATTTTGGCTTGCTTTATAGTTTTGAAGAAAAAAAAAGCTATTGAACATTACTCTCCATGGGCATTGAATGAAGTGCAAAGAGGTAAAATTTTTATGCTTGTTGGCATGCTTATCAATCCTTAATTTGAATTTCATTGGTTTAGTGATTGGAATTCTCTTTTCGGTGGCGGGTTTAGTTATTGTGGCAAGCAAATTTCATATGAATGCATGGGAAAATTTGTGTTTATGAACATCATCCTAAACCCTATCTTTGTATGGATCTTCATGCATTTGGTAATATTATCCTTATGTGGTGGAGAAGGCTTCCTAAGATAAGGGTAATATTGATTAGTGGTACTAATAAATAAGATGTTTGATGTATAAATGTTTTCATCAATAGTTTTTGTTTAGTAATGATATTTCTATCCATAAGTTTTAATTTGAATATGTGTTGAACAAGCTTGCAACATAATCCATTTCATCATAAGCATTTAATCTTTTAAGAGAAGTGTCATTTTATATGGTTTTATAACTTTATTTACATCATTGTTATCATCTTGGAGTTGATCTTATGTAATCGTATTTTTCATTTGTTTGAATTCTATTTTTCAATAATATTTTTGGACGAATTTTAATCGTGTTACTTTTTTTGTCTACTTTTGTTTCTTTCATAACTTTCCTATAATGTAATTTTCATATTAAACATATCATTTCTAAGGGTTTCATCGAGTTTTCTGGTCATTTTGGGTCTATGTCGACATAAAATTGCTCTGTCCGATTCAGACTCAAATATTAAACTTGCCAGAAAAATTAACTCGAACCCAATCCATTTTCACCAAATCACCCGAGCTTGAACAACCCATTTAATATATGCATAAAAGCTATTCGGGTCAAATTTGGTTTAATTTCAAGTTAGTCTAAAATTGGTGGGTCAAATTCGTGTTAATCTTAGGTTGTTGGTTCAGTATCGAGATTAGAACATATCCTAAAAATAGTAAGGAAAATAGTTTCAGAAAGGAAACTACCTAAAACCAACAAAAATAATTGATACCAAACTGAAATAACAAAAGTAAATCTAATATTGAAATGTATGCATCTGTGGAGATGGTCTTTCGAGTGACCTAGTAGAATCTGTTATACAAAAATATCAACAAGTGAGTTTAACAAATCAAAATCAATAAATAATCACTATTTACTAAATCATAACTGATAAAGTAGTGTGCATGTAGTTTGAATAAGGGAACAAGAAAATTTACTTGTGTATATAAAATAACTGAGGCAAAAGAGTTATTAAAAGTATCGTAATGCCTGGATAATAATATGAATATGCTCAATCATTTTAATAAAATATGTAATAATTGTTAGTCACTTTCATGTATTTCAATGCATTTATTTTTAATCCAATCAAGTCTTATTTGTGTTTGAATTATCAGTCATTTATTAGTTAATTTCAATTTGTTTTATATCTATATCGTCGTTATTATCAGACATCCTGGAATCGGGAAGATAAATACAAACCAAATAAACTTGGATGATTTTGTGCAGTCAAGACTGTAAGGTCATTCCAAGTGAGAATTTAAGTAGCCAACATCGTTTATTAGTTCTAGATTTTAAGATGAAGAGTTGTAAAATAAAGAATACTAGGACTCATCATCGTAGAATTAGATGAGGGAACCTAAAAGAGACAAATAAAATTATTTTTATGAGTAAAATTTAATATTTTAAAATTTGGGATGTTCATGAAGAAATAAATGTTTTTGTGCGATAAAATAACACACACTATTAAACAAGTAGCAAAATGTGTGCTTGGAGAATCAAAATAAAAAGTTTTTATAAATAAAAATAGTTAGTGGTGGAATAATAATGTGCAAGAAAAGATAAAATATAAGAAGTTATGTTATAAAAATTGAGAACTGGAAAAAATATCAAACGACCAGCTGAGAGTCTAAAAAAACAATCCGTGACGCTAAAAATTTTGCTTTTAATGATCTTTATAATAGATTAAATACTAAGAAGGGTGAAAAATATATGTATAAACTAGCCAAAAAAAGAGAGAAGAAAAGTAAAGATTTAACTCAAGTAAAATGTATTAAAGATGAAAATCAAAAATTACTTTTCTTAGAAAAGGATATTCAACATAGGTGGGTGAGTTATTTTGATAAACTTTTTAATGAAGTTTCTGAAAATATGATCGACCTTAGTGATCTTAATATCATGAATAATAATAAAACGTTTTATTTTTGTCGTCACATTAATAAAAAAAGAAGATGATGAGGCTTTAAAGAAAACCAAGGGTGGAAAGTCAGTAGGACCTGACGATATGCCCAATGAAATGTAAGTTTCTTGGCTTACTAAATGCTTTAATATTCTTTTAAAAATTAAGAAGATTCCTGAGTAGAGGAAAAGAGTATTTTGATCCTTTTTTTTGAATGAAGGGCAGGTCTACTATGGAAGCTATACATTTATTGAGAGGTTTGATGGAGAAGTTCAGAGATAATAAGGAGAATCTACATTTGATTTTTATTGATTTAGAAAAAGCTTACGATAAGGTTCCAAGAGATATCCTTTGGAGAGTTCTTGAGAAGAAAAGTGTTGATATGACTTATATTAAAGTCATTAAAGATATATATACTAGAGCTGTTACTTGTGTTCAAACTGAAGGAGGATTGACTATTTCTGTTGGATTACATCAGGGACCCATATCTTTTTGCTTTACTTATGGATGGTTTTACTGGACATCTACAGGAGGATGTACCTTGGTGTATGCTTTTTGTTGTTGATATTCTTCTCATGGATAAAATGAGAGGGAAAAACTTGAATTATGGAGGTCTACATTAGAGTCTAAAGGCCTTCATTTGAGTAGAACTAAAATTGAATGCATGGAATGTAATTTTAGTAGTAATAGCTCTAGTGACAGAAGTGTGACTTTGGGTGATCAAATTATTAAAAGGTGTGAACGATTTAGATATCTTGGGTCTGTTGTTCAAAGCGATGGTGATATAGATGTGGATGTTAATAGTAGAATTCAAGTTGGTTGGTTGAAGTGGAGGAATGTTTCGGGCCTTTTGTGTGATAGAAAAGTATCGCTTAGACTGAAAGAAAAATTTTATAAGACGGTGGTGAAACCTGCAATGTTCTATGGCGTTGAATGTTGGCCTTTAAAAGAGAAGCATAATAATAAGTTAAGTGTTGCCGAGATGAGAATGATTAGGTGGATGAGTGGCTTTACGCTTAGAGACACAATACAAAATGAATATATTCATGATAGGGTTGGTGTTGCTCCTGTGACAGACAAAATTAGAGAAAGTCTTCTTAGATAGATTTAGATGGTTTGGTCACATTAAACGTCGACCATCTGATGATCCGATTAGGAGAGTAGATGTTTTAGATTTGACTTGTGTTAAGAAGGCAGGGGTAGACCTAGGAAGACTTGGGCTTATGTATAAAAAATGATCTTAATTTACTCGAACTAAATGAAAATGTGACACTAAATGTGACACTAAATAGGACGCAAAAAAGGATTCATGTAGCCGAGCCCACGTAGTGGGATTAAGGCTTTGTTGTTGTTGTTGTTGTTGTTGTTGTTGTTGTCAGTCTGTGGTCCTACCAACCGCATCCAAAAAGATTCCACCTACTTATCATTGTACACAAATATACATTTACAAATTCAATATGTAATTATTTAAATAATGTGACTAATACATTTACTTTTTCAAGAATGATAATAGCATGACATAAATCTACTTGTATTTCATAGGAGTGTTGTGCCAAAAAAAAAATATTTCAATAGGAGAGTTAAATCTAATATACAAGAAGTTGTGCATAAATAAGATAGGACAAATAATCATTTTATTACGAGCAATAGAAGAATCTTATATCAGATGTTTAGTAATATAAGTGCAATAAGATTGACAAATCTACCTAAAAAAGAAATAATTAGAAATCTGATACAAGTAGCAAGCTCAACACTCCTAACAGCAAAATGATACATTTATACCTAATAAATAACAGTTATTTACCTCAAAAGAAAACATGAAAACTCCAATATTATTAGTAGTTCAATGAACATCTATTAGCAGTTCTTATATTGATCTGACTCCGAAATGTTAACTATTTTGCTATTACATGTGTTAAAATTGATTATTTATTAGTTATATATAACCTGACAGACATATTATCATTATTATTATTATTATTATTATTATTTATTTTAAATCATTGCCATTATATTTTTTTTCTGAAAGAAAGTATGAACCTAACTAAAATTAACTCTAACTTTATTTATCATAATAATCAAATAATTAAAAATAAATTTGATCTAGAGAGATATATAAGGCTATAAATGAACTAATAAAATTGCACTCAAGAAAAAAATAATGGAAAAATGGGAGAAGAGTAGACATACAACTTGTTTGATTAGTCAATGGATGACAGTGGAGACTCGATGGCTGTTGTCAAGTAGGAAGAAAGTGGAGTGAGGTGGCAGCTACAAACTTTAGAGGAAAGGACTAGAGAGATCCAATGGCTAGAATGGGGAGTTTTGTGATGCTGTATGATTGGTAGCCAATAAATAGAGAAGAGAGGCGGTGGGTGAATGCAGGGGAAGGTTGATTCGCATTAGTTGGGTGAATCGGAAAGGCGAAGAGCAAAAAAGGAATGAGAATCCCATCGTGCGCAATCAGGGAGGAAGAAGCAATGTAGGAAAGGAAAAAAGAATCGTGTGATTCACATGTAGCTAAGAGTTGTGTGATCAGCTGCTCGACCGAGGTAGGAATGTTGGAGGCAAGAGCGATTGTACTTGTGTCATTCACATGCCATAACGGGTGGATTATTTGGCTTTTTCAGATAAGAGTCCTCGTTCTTGCTACTGAAGCTCTTCTTTTACATACCACTGATTCTGGAGATTCAAATGATGGCTGAGTGTGACACTTCTTTTAGTGCACATGCCAAAGCTTCATTAATTATCATTGTCATCCGCTCATTCAGATCTTTCATCAACTGCACATTGAAATTCCTCATGCTTTTCATGTTGATTGACTGGTCTCTGTGATTTGGTTTGTCGTAAACAACTCTATTTTAGTTTGTGACATGATACACGCTTGTTGCACCAAAAAGGATATCAGTTCTTGATATGTTCATTTGTTATGCCACTTAGAAAAAAGTTATGTGAGAAGAGAACTAATGAATGAACATATATTAGAGGGGGCAGATGGAATGCCCTCATAATTTTTATTGCTCTTAGTTTAATGATTATTGGGTTTAAGCTCTTCCAGATTAGTCTTTTCGAAAGAATTCTCACTAAAGAGCCCTCCTATATTTTATGTTGGTTGTCTCTATTTGTTGGTTGAGCTTGCTTGAGGTTTGTTATGTATAACCCTACTTAAAAAATAAAATGTACATTGTACAATATATAAAATAAAGTATGGAACAAAGTAGCCGAAAGTAGCCTGTATATCTTGTCAGCCTATTCAATACTGGGGAGCCTTGTCAGCCTATTCAATACTGGGGAGCAATGATCAAGTCGATCTAATTTATTGGGGAGAGCTTGCCGCTAAATATGTTGTGTATGAGTGGATGAGCTGACTTGTCAATGTCTAGTTGAATTGAGTGGTTGATCAGCTTGGCTCGGCTGTCGTGCTGCCGGCTGGTCAATTTGGTTAGTTGACCTATAAAATGAACTTATAGCTGTGCATATAATATTATGTCCATGGTCTAGCATGTCCTACTTTTACACATATGTTTTCTTGGTGTGTTTGTGTCGTGTTATATATGTACTTGTGTCTGTGCCCATGATTCATGGGTGTAACTATTTATTGTAGATGATTTTTAGGTTTGCTGTATCGTTATGATCAGAATTTTCTAAATGTTTTTCCTTGTTGTGATCGTTTGAGCATTACTTTTAGCAGTTTTGTTTCAAGTAAGAGTGGTAAAGGACTTCGCCCTTTGAGAGAGGTGCAACAAGAATGTAGCAAACTAGATATGTATTAGACCTACCATGCTTGTTTTTTTCGTCCTTAAGATGGTTGCTTTGACTCTTTTCTTTTTTTCTTGATTTCTTCCCTTCTCTCATCATCCTAGTTCTTTTTCTATTCTTCCTTCCTCTTGCTTTGCAATGGATCTAGTCGCCCTTCCTCTCATAAATTTGGTAAATGTGAGAGTGAAGAGAGAGAAGAAAAGAAGAATAGCTACAGAAAATGAAGGCATCAATTTGACACTTGAATCATTACTCATTATAAAGTGGCTTAAATATTAAGTATATAGAAAAATTGAGTACAAAAAATTTAAATCAAAACAAATTTTAAAAGAGTCGCATAAAAATTTGATAAGATGTGGATCTATGGAGAATTGAAAGAGGTGGCCTCAAATAGTTTGGGATAAGGCTAATAACGACGATTTTTTCAGGATACTTAAGGTGATAACTATAATTTTATCTCACACCTTTGGAATTTGTTATTTGGTTGCCTGTTTTATCCGCTGAATGGGGCTATAACCCTTTTTTATGGCTATATTATCTTTCTGAATGCGTTGAATTATCCTTTGGTGTAATGCTGAATGGAGTTATTTTTATATTTTTGTTAGGTTCTCTGTGATGGCAAGTTACCTTTTGTCGGAATGACTGAGAAGGTTGAGCAGGAGTTGTTTTGGAAGGTTTGAGACTGTCCTAGTTGCTTTTGTTTTTAAGTTTTTCTTTTCAAAAGTATATCGCTGTGTGAGTATTATATAAATTGTGCTTCAAACTTTCCAGGCTGAGCGTTCTGATATTTTTGCAAGGCCAAATCTTTACAAATTGCTTTATTCGTTTCAAGCATATCGTAACAACTGGAGAAAGGCTGCTAGCTACATTTACCAATATTCAGTTAGATTAAAGAATGAAGTAATTACTGATGACACAGGAAAGTTTTCTACAGCCCTCCAAGAGAGATTAGAAGGATTATCTGCAGCGATCAATGCACTGCAACTTGTCGATCATGCATCTGCCTGGATTGACTCAAAATACGTGGATAGCTTTTCTACTGGTCAAGGTTTACGACATAAAAGAGCTCGAAATGTCCTTGCAGAAAAATGTACGAGGCCATTTTCTAATTATGTTATTTTTTCTTAGTTAAATAATAATCTTATATTCTCTCCAGCTGCTTTTAGTGATGAATTTGAATCTGAGAGGCTACAATACAATGTTGATATCAAAATGCTTGAAAAAGAGTATGTACTAACCTCAGCCCAGTATTTGCTGTCTCATGTGAAGGATAAGATTAATTTTTCAGGTATAGGATATATTCATATCATACTTGGTGTTTTGGCTGCCATTCTTGCAATTACATTCTGAACTGCTATGTTACAAGGTTTTTTGGTGTGTATTACACTAACAGGGAATCAGAAACTTTCACATTTAGTGGATATTTTAATCAAAGAAAATTTTTATGACATGGCTTTCATAGTTATTCTCACATTTTGGAAGGGCTCTACATTAAATAGGTATAATGCTTAGTTTTCCATTCTACTGGCACACTAAAAAGTACTGTACCTTTGCGCATTATTTTTATTTAGCATGCTTTTGATAAGAAATGAAATATTTTTCTCAGGGAACTCGAGCAAGCTTTTATTGCTCTCTCAGAAAAATTTTTCTCGGGAGGAATGGTTTCTTCAGCTTTAGGGTAAGTTCACTTGATTATGTTTTTAGGTGATTTATTATGTGGCATCATTCTTAGTGTAGTCATCATCTTCCTTATTCCTGATATGTTTTTCATGTAATTCATAAACGTATGGTTAAATTACTTTCTTGGTTGACATCCTTTTTCATTTTCATTACAATCCTAGGAGCATTGGAAAAGGAAACAACTTTTTGCTGCCATCACCTGATGATTTAAGGCATACTGATGGGAGAATTGATTCGAGTTCTATTATCAATTTTAACTCGAGTTCTATGATCAATCAAATAGATGGAAATGGTCACTGGGAAACGCTTCAATTCTATCTTGTATGTAAAATTTTGCATATTCTTTGTATGGTCTCTTCTTTTTTCTAATTTTTTTTATATTCTCAACTTGATGTTAATTTTGATTCGTGAAATAAAGGCAACTTTTAAGTAATTTGCCTAGCCTTGAAGGTCAAACTTGGAAGCCCTTAATTTGTGCAAGTTACCTTTTGATTGTGAAATCAAAGTTTATTAGAAATAATTACTGTCCATATTGGACTTCTATCTTTTTTAGTGCCTCTAAATAATGAAGAAATTAATGGAAAATCTAATTCAAATGTCCATCACATAGAAGACAAACTGTTTGTAAATCAAAAGTCTTATGTGCACATCCTTTTTCGATGAATTGAAAAATGTTTCAAATTTGCTTAGTTGAGTGGAGCTGCATCATCTACTAGGCTGTTGTGCAAGGTTAGGACATAGCCTTTCAATCATCTCCAGTATAAGCATCAATTTTTCAAAAACCTTAATTTAAGGCAGTAAATATTTAGGCGAGCATGGTGCCTTGATTGGATAGGTGTTTGTTTACATGTTTAACATAGAAGATAACTTTTTTTTTCTTTTATGTAAGTTGATTTATAATGATGTCAAAAAAGAATCGATGGTTAGAAACTTGATGCATGACCATGAATTAGTGAAATCTAAAATAGGTGCAAGAGCTTAAAGTTATGTGCATATTAAAGGTAAGGCACCAAAGATCATATTTGTAATGCCTTTGACACGAGAGCGCCCCTTGATCCCGACACGGGAGTCCCGGGAACGAAGCCGCGATCCGACTATTTGCTTTGACCGGTTCGTTCCAGGTTTTTTCCATTCTAAGGAGTTGGCCGGTCCTTTTGAGTCACTTTTATTTATCTTATTATTTTATCACTACAGGAATGCAAAAAAATTGCGTCGGTCAAATCAGACTCGAATGTAAATCCGATGCTAGTTGAGAATTATCGTCGGATTTGCGTCTGATTTTTTCCACGGGTAATTCGGGGGTCGCTAATATTAATTCCATCAATTTTGCGTCAAAATAGTCTGACGAAAATTATTAGCGTCGATTTTTTCACCATCAAAGCGTCGAACATATTCAGTCTGCAAATGCGTCGAATTTTGCATCTAAAAAACATCAGACAATAAATAATATTGTTTTATTACCATCAGATTTGTGTCAAGCTTAGTTCAATGGACAACACGTCAAATTATTGGACTCAAAACAGACACAAATTTGACTAAAAAAATTAAAAAATCAATTACATTTTCACAACCTGCACACAATATTTAATCTACATCACATCAACATTTTATACAATCATATCACAAATCAAAGCTTTTAAAAATATCAATACTGAAAATGAGTTACTGTCACAAATCAAAATTATCAAAATGTTACATATGCATTCTGATCAATGTAAGTTCAAACATTTCATAAATTAAAATACATAAAAACTGCTATTCCTTCTACTCATCCTTCTTCTTATCCTTCTCCTCGACTATAGCGGTCACCGTTCACTTGACTAGGAGATCATAAAAATGCATGCACGAGATTCTATACAAAATTTTTTGCTTAGAATGACTCGAACGAAGTCAAATTAAATTTGACTTTTGGATATTTTTAATGGGGTTTTTACATGCATATAAAATTCTTATGCATATACATATCTAACACCTAAATTTCAGTATTTTACTTACATGCCACCTTGTCTATGCATAAAAAAAGGGGAATACACCTTTCTATGCATAGGTTTTGTGGCATATATGCAAAAATTGAAGTTTAGGTGTTAGATCTGTATCTGCACAATAATTTCATGGTATATATATAAATCTACCTTTTTTAATTCATCAAACATTAAGAACTAGTTAGAAACTTTATTTTGACCTTTAAGGTTGCCTATGTCAAAAGAGTATGACCAAAAAATGAAAATTTAGTATTTAGAAGAGCATAACTGAGAAGAGAAAAATTAATAGAGGATAATTGTGCGGATGATATATTAGTTAAAATAGAATATTTAAGTTCAAAAGAAACCAAGCTGTGAGTGCATAAATAGACTATAGATCAAATTATATTAATCACAATACAATCAGTGAATTAACAATAGGTTGAGTCACAAAATTTTTAGTCAAGATCCATGAGCCATGTTTCAAGCCAGTTATATCAATTAATTGGATTAAATCCAATTGAGACCATATAGATTCTAAATGGGTCATGTTAGCTCATTTAGTAATACCTATGGTTAAAATATGTTGAACAAAGTTAAATAAACGACATCCTAGAATAGCTCTATGTTAATAAAATGAACCAATTTGATAATCAAAGTCAGATCCATAATAAAATCTAATGATCTTCTCCTACTCATAAATAGACAAAGATTATAATAAACTATTGGATCTTTGATTGCTCAACTTTTACCTTCTAATTGATCTCATATCTCAGAACAACTCTGTCACTTGTTGCTTGAACCCATGCCATCAAATCATAATATATTTTTCTGCACTCTGGATGAATATTGCATATCCTAAATTTATGAGTTTTATGTAATAACTCTCCCCTCATATCACCATCAGTAAAGACTAAATTTAAAATATCACAAGTCAATATGCCAAGATGATCTACATGTAATTCAACTCATCTTCTTGACTGCATTTGATAAATTAATCTTGTTTATCATCATCTAATATTTAAGCATTTTTAATCATCTCCTGTAAAGAAATATAAAAATTCTATACAAATTGTCATACCAGTGAACTTCATATTTAATGCATCAGCAACTACATTAATTTTATCAAGTTAAAATATAATACTGGTGCAACTTTCAATTCTTTTTTATGTTTAAAACTAATTAAATCCAAAATTGAATGACTCAAGAAAAAAAATACCCAACCATCCAACTAATTTAGGCCTACCTCAAAACCAACTATAATCTCACCCAAACCTGCTTTTATACAAAGCTAACACTCAATGCTTATTTATATAAATAAAAATATTGTTATACATACCACTCAATACTTATGTATATATATACACATAGCTAACACCTAATTTTATGCATATACATTCTTAACATCTAAACTTTAAATGTTACATATTGAAATCTTATGCATATACATTCCTAATACTTAAAACTTCAAATGTTACATACATACCAAAATTAAAAAGAAAAAAACTGAAGCGAAGTTACCCTTTCTGATCCTCTCACAGGTGGCGACGACTTAGGGTCGCAACGGGGTTTCGGTGGCAAGTGGGAGGTGCAGCGACTGGTGATCGGTGACGGCGAGAGGGAGAAGAGGAGATGCTAGAGTTTTGGGTGTGGCGTGAGGGAGTAGAGGAGACAGGGGCGAGACACACGATGAAGAAAATGAATTTGAAAACATGAGTTTTTTTAGATTTATTGCATCAGATTTATCGTCAAATTTGCATCGGATTTATTCGACGCTTTTAATTAGAGCTTTTGCATCAATTTATTTAACGCAAATCTGACATAGAAAACGTTGCAACAACAACAATAATTTCGATGCAATTTCCGACGCAAATAGAATAATTTTTTTTAACGCAAAGCAGTCGCAAAATCCAACGCAAAATGTCGAAGCTAATTTAAAGCTCTCCTGTAGTGTATATTCTCGTTTTTGATGTTCTAGTTTTAGTTTTTTTTAGGACCACCGTAGACATTTGTTTCCTCCATTAAGGGTTGTATCTAAGAGTTGAGTGGTGCTCTGGTTGTATCTTTCCCGAGACGGTGATTATTTTCCCTATCCCATTCCATTGCCGTCTTTATTGTAGTTTTTTCCAATTCTAGACAACCATCCTCTTGCTGTCTTGCGATCTCTGGCATCCCTTGTCGCTGCCACCCTCATTCCCCTCTCAGCCGATGATTCAAATAGCTTTTCCCGGTTGTTTTCTTGCTGTCCAACCATCATTCCGACTAGCCGCGGCATGAACGGTAGCTTATCTAGTTGTCCCTACGGTCTCCGCTTGCTGCCTCCACACCAGACAACACTGCTCTTGTTGTCCCGCAGCTCACAGTCGTTCCCCTTCGTTGCTTCTCATTGTCCCAACCCTTTGCTTTGTTGTCAGTGCAATTTCAGTCCCCCCTTTTGTTGTCCCAACCATCTACAACCCATTTCAGTCACCACACTTTGCTCCCTTACCACCTAGCCTAACTCCACCACCCATGGTTTGAGCCCTAGTGTGAGTTTGTGCCGTGCTTGTTGTAATTTTCTCTTCCAAGTGTGTTTGATTGTGAATGTTTATTTGATTTGGTAGTAATATTTGTTTTTTCTTTTGTAGTTTAAGTTAACTTCAATATCATTTGGTATCATAGTTAGCTTGACCCTGTCCTATTCTAGGGTTTCTAGCATTAGCTATACCCAAACTTCTCTCCCAATCCCACTCCCCCCCCCGGTGTGTATTA